AGAATGGTCGTACTCCTGGCTATGGCCTAATTTGTCCTACACAACCTGATGTGACACCAGGAGTTCTGCACAAAAGAGACTGGAATTTGAGACCCCCATGTAAGAACTCACAAGACGTGCCTGTGGTTGGGTGGCGAGAAGACACAAGTCTCATTTTGGTTGGACATTTCCAGCCTTCATCACAGGCATGGGTCACCGTTTGATTGGTCCATGCCAGCTTCTCCAAGCAGAGGAACCAAGTTGAACTCACAGCAGAAAGGGATAAAATGGCCTGTCTCCTTCAGCACATCACTTCCTGAAAGCCAAGAAAAGGAGAAGACCTGGGAATCCTCACTGCTGGTGACATTAAGTACCCTCAGTTAGGCACCTTTAACTATCTCTCTCTCTCTTTTCCAGCAGCTTGGGTTGCTTGTTAGCACACGAGGAAAACACAATGTCCGTCCTTCACTCCACCTGTGTTTGCAGTGTCAGCCCTGCTGTGATCAGTAACGGAGCTGAAGGCTGACAGTTGAGCAAAGATTTGGTGATAAGTAATACACAGCCTTTCTCTTTGGCAAGGACCCAGATCAGTCACTTGACTCCTTCCTCAGCTGGGTACCTAATTACTTAGGACATGTACATGCTTGTGTACACAGACATCAAATAAGACTTCGTGTGAAAGCCTGTCATAAAAAAATAGATGTTCTTGTTAGGTGGTTAGGAGTGTTTATCAGACCCTGAGCTAATATAACTGGTGTGAGTATTGGTTAAAAGGAGTAACCACAACAGATCCATTGGAAGGAGACTATGTGGGGTTGGCATGTGAGGAATTGATCAAGTTGTTTTATGCGTTAGCCTAGAATTGTTTTCCACTGTTGAATCAAGTAACAGTGGAAAGTTTTACTAATGGGCTTGAGTGTTTTCCTTCTGCTTTAAGGACTTGGTCAAAATTCCAAACAAAGTCAAAGGATAATTGTTGAATAGGAATTTTGCTGCTTTCTGTTATGGATGTGTTATGTGATTCTTAAAACCTGGATGGTTCGCGTGTGGACCAGTTTTTCCCATTTCTCTCAGTCCAATCATAAACCAGTGCTACTGTGCATTATCTTATATTATATACTCTTGGCTGCTGTTGATAAGGGTAGCCAATAAAAATGTAAAATCAGATCTGAGTCCTTTTCTTTCGTTAAGCAGTCAATATCCAAAGCCCCCTAAGACAGACGAGTTGGGTAATCAGCTGAGCAATTAACTTAACCAAGGTTTTATTTGATACCTTCCTTTCTTACATGTTCCAGGAGGGAAACACCCTCTGTGAATTACCCTGACTGGCCACCAGGTGCCAGCACCGGGGCCAGGGAATGTTATCTCACTAGTGATAATTAGTGATAAAGGGGCAGAGGGTGTATCCCACAGATGAATCATGAACTCTTATCATTTCATGGTCGCCTTCACCCAAGCTGCCTTCCGCCTTCAAATTCTCAGCCAGTTCCTCCCGGTTTGTCAGACTCAAACCCAGAACAGCCTCTGCCCTAGTCACTTTCTCCACCTCCTGTAATAAAAAACTTGTCTCCAGCGGAGCAGGTCACTCGCTCATGGGAACCTGAGCTCCCACAGCCAATCAAGTCACTCACTCGCCCTGTCCTCTGCAGACACAGAGTCAGCTCACCCCAGAGACGTTGGCCTCTGCACAATGAGGCTTCTCCAGGAACGGCTCCCAGATGGGCCAAGACCCCCTACCCCTGCAGCCCCTTGTCCTCATACACATCTCCTGTCCGTGGGGATCTTGTGAGGGCGGTAGGACAAGAGCCCTGT